TGAGTTTTACACCCCTTCTCGTCCTCCGTTTTCCCGAGCTTTCTTCTATACCCCAAACTTCGGGCCCGGCATTTCAGAAATGGTGCCCTTTGGGGGTCTCCTGTTGTGCTCGTGCGTACGTTTTAAAACGCCCCCCATGGGGGGGTACCGGTACAATAGAACCACAGAGGACTCCCTTTATTTTAAACGAAGCGTGCGACGCTCGCCGTGTCTCCCTGACGCTAAAAACACTGCTGGCGGATTATGTTCCCCATCACCTTGTTCTTATGGTGCAGTCTGGAAAAAAAATCGAAAAAATAGTGGGAATATTCTCCGACCCCGGCTCCCGTTTTGGGGTTGCCGGGGTTGTATAGCAAAACCCCCTAGAGTTTCCCAAGAAAATTTGGTCTTGGTCGTATTTCTCAGGACTCCCTCTATGCCCTCTTTCTTTTTTCGTTAGCGCTTCTTTTTTTTTTAATAATAAAAATAATTTCTTTCCTCAAAATCTGCCAGAGAGTTAGCACCCCTTGACTTTTCTTCTTCAGGAAAAACAGTTTAAGTGCCCTTTTCACTTCAAGAACTGGAGGCAACATTCGCTTGTCGATCATCGGCAGTGGGTCGAGACATTCTATTCGTATGCTACGCATTTACATCAGTCAGCCCTTGCAGTCCCTATTACGCCTTTAAATTTATTTGGTCACAAAGGAGTTCTTTTACAGTGTGGAAACCGCCCTTGTTCTCCCCCTTTCCCCAAAACCAGGCACTAGGGGCATGAAACCTCCCACTATCGTCCCCTTCTTTACCGTGCGTTTTTCAAAGTAATGGAACGTTGTAAAAAAAACGTTTAGTGTGGTATTTAGAGACACACACAGTACTGACCTACCCGTTTCTTAAGGGTTTCCATGTCGGGCTATTTTGCTGTAAAATCTTCCCCCCCTTCACACCCCTTGGCAACAACGTTGGTCTCTATGCTCGGAAAAAACTTCAGTTAATTAAACCGAGTATAGGTTATGGGCCGTTTCTTATCACCAGTGTCGAGGTTTGGGGGGTACTCTTCCGTTTGATTGGCCTACTGTCTTACTCATGGATTCTCTGGGGAAAGGGGACTTGCTCCTCTCTGTGGAAATTTCCCGCTCCATTATCAGTAGCCACATTCTGTTGATGCCCACTTTTCAACGAGCAAAGCAGAATTTTTCCCCTGTGTGTTTCGCCCCGTGCTCTTCTTTACCCTTTCCCTTCTCGTGTTTGGACCACCTTTTTTCCGGACTCTTTTTTGACTTTTTTAAAAAGATGCTTACTTCACAAATTCTGATTTCTTTCAGCCCTTTTATTGTTCTCTTGTACCCCCTTCCCCCCTATCCCCTGCCCCGCTGTTTTTCTGTAACTGCTGATCATCCCCCTCCCTCCTGCCATCCAATTCCCTTGCTTCCTTCCCCACCCGCAGCGCTGTATAGCCCTTGGGCTTAGCGCTTCTTTTTATATTAAAAATTTAGGAAAACACAAAAAAGTCTCTCCCCTCGTTTTAAAAAGGCTTCGTAAGGGACGTTTACCTAGACCCCTTACTGGCTTGGAAGTTGTTCGTAATGCCTTTTCGAATAACCACCAGTTTTGCCATATTTTTTGACCCTTTAGAAGGCAAAATGACACAACTTGGGGTTTAATTTTTAGCCAAAAACCCACTCTTAGGCCTTCGAGGCAATTTCCCTCCCTTTCCCTTTAAAAACTTTTTAAAATGCAGGCATTTCCGGGTTTGGGTTTTTAAAAATGGGCTCTCCCCCGGGCTTTTCCCCAAACTGAAAGGGGTCCCCCCGGGATGGGTTCTGAGCACAAATTTTTCCCTGTATTAATTTTGGCCTTAGTCTTCCCTCAAATATTTTGGTCACACTCTATGTTGATGACTTCGCTATTGCCGTGCAGGCGCTGACTGTCCCCCCTTACAGTTTCTTCCCAAAATCAGTCGGGCCGTGTTTAATTGGGCCACCACACATGGGTTTAAAATTTTCCAGACTAAAACCCCCCAAAAACACTTTCAAGGCTTGTCATCTCCCATATCTTTGTACCTCTAGGGTCCCGTATCCCCGAACGTGATACAGTCAAGTTCTGGGCCTCCCCTTTGATCGTGGTTATCCTGGAAACCCCCATTACCTCTTGAAGGCAAATTGTACAGCCCGGGTGAACCTTCTTTTTAAACCCCTTTTCATCTTTCTGGGAGCTTTGTGAAACCCCCCTTCACCTACATTCCACCCCTTTTTTTTCGGAAAAATTGTTAGGTGACCCGCTATTCGCGGCATTTTCCCGCTCTCTCTCTAGCCTTAACCCATTCATCACCAAGGATTAGTTTATGCCCTTTGGGGTTTTCGCTCTTCCCCCGTTTTGAAAACCCCCTATGCAAAAGCGAAAGTTCCATCTTTCCCCCTGCCCTGATCCCCTTGCCTGCGCTCTATGTAGCTTCATGATCTCCGCAAAATTCCTTTTTTAGAAATGGTCATGTATTAGTGCTTCTTTATTGTTTGCCCCCCTGCTTACTCCGTCCCTTCTCTCTTGCCTTATTCGCTTTATCTTCTCTTCAATACCACCTTTCTATGTCATGTAGCATCTCATTTTCCCTACCCCCTGGGAAAGTTCCAGCTGTTCGGTCGTTCTTTTCCCTCCCTTGCTCGAAAGCCCAAGTCTCGGTGCTTCCGCTCTCTTTTCTTGACCACTTTCACTCTCATTCTCATGCCATTGCTGTGTACACGATGGGTCTAATTTTGGGGTTTGGATTCCGAGTGTTTTGGACAGCGTCGTACAGGGCTTTTCATTTCGGTGTATTTTTACTGCTGAAATTTTTTGCCCTCCTTCGCACTTTTCGTATTGCATCTTGCCTGTGTATCATTTGTGGGGGTCTCAGACTCCCTTATGCTTTACGGCATACAAAAATTTTTACACCTACCCCTTGTCCTCCGTATCACTTGGCTGCCGCATTTTACCAAGCATAAAAATTTGTTTTTGTTGGGTCCCTGGTATGTTGAGTACAGGGCAATGAACAGGCAGACATGCTGGCGGTCGCGTACATGACCCACCCGTTTTTTATGAGGTATTCCCTGTCGGGGCTATTTTGCTGTAATATCTTCCCCCTTCACCCCGTTGGCAACAAAGTTGGTTACTTGCCGGCAAAAAAACTTCATCATTAAACCGAGTATAGGCCCTTTTTGTTAGCGTTCTTTTTTGATTTTAATAAAAAAATATTTAGGGGAAAAATTGGCCCATACCCGGAGGGTGTTCGGGGGTCCCAAAGCCCCCCGACTGGTCTATGCCCGGCCTCTGGTGGTCAGGGCCCGATAACCAGGCTGTTAAGCTGGCTGCACATAAATGTACAAACCCCAGCCGGCTGGTTTTCAGGTACTGACTTTGGGTTTGTCTGTCTAGCCCCCTTTTAAAAGACGGGCCAGGGGTCTGTTTTTTAATCCCTGTTATGTATGCGGGGAGGAAAGTTGAAAAATTTGGCCCTTGCCCACTTAATTTGTTGCCCTTTTGGGCATAATCAGGCCCCCCTGCTTTTCACGGGGGGGGGGGGGGGATTTTGGCCCCCGCCTGAAATTTTTTTTGCTTTCATAGGGAGTGATTTCGTGTGCGGTTTTGGGGAAAACTAGTTCCCTCTAGGTTTTTCCCAGGTGAAAATTTTTGATGTATCTTTTTGCCTTCTTTTTCAAGGATTTACAGGTCAAGAAAAGATTTTTTTTGGGTTTTAAAAACCCCAGAGGGTTAGCCCCCCCGGAAAAACCCAAGAAAAGCCCATTGCATCATCGAGGCTTTTCTGTTTGTTTCCATTGGGATCCTTCAAATCTTTTTCCCCAGGATGAAAATTTCCCAAACCGATTTCCACCCGGGTTTCCCTAGGTTTCCAAGGTGAACAGGACAATGGGTTTTAAGGGAAAACCATACCCAATGTTTTATCTGGCCAGGGATTGAACCAGGGACACTCATTGTGTGAGGGGGAGGGGGGGCATTACTTCCCAAAAGGCAAAGATTTCCCACACTGATTTTTTTACTCGGTTGAGTCATACATGGGGGCCCATCAAAGGGGGGAAATTTTTATTCTTGAAAATTATCCCTATGAGTTCTGTTGCAACTGTCAGGAAGAGCTTCAGAAAAGGCTACTATTGTTTGGGCCTGTTGATATATTTTTGCAGGGTTTAGAAAAGAGTGGGAGTTTTGCTTTTGTCAATTAAGCAATTTTTAAACTTTGAAGTGGGAGTTTGTGTTGTCTAGTACATATTAGGGGATTCTTGTTTTTTTTAAATTTCATTTTTTTCCCCGGGGGGGGCTAAGAAATGTTATCCCCCCCTAGCTCATTTCAAAGCCCCCGGCCCCTATGAAAGGTATATTCCCCCCCCCCTCCCGGAGGTGCCCCAAAACCCGTGGGATTTAACCCCCAAGGTACCTACCAAAGGCTAGGTGTGAGGAAACTTCCCCAGTGTTTCAAATTCATGCTGGGGATTAAACCACAAAGGGTTTTTTATGCATTTTTTTTGTTGGGTTACTGGGGCTTTAGGTGATATGGTGTAGCATATCGCCGGGTTTACAAATATACCTTTGAAAAAAAATTATGATAAATGATTTGGGTTTCCCAAAAACAGCAGGTCTGCTCTGCCTTTATCGTAAACCTTTTAAAAACTATAAAATCTTACTTTTGCTATTAAAAGGAAAAGCAAAACTCATTTTTCTGTACGTTTTGTGATAAGCAGGCTCGGTTGAATATGTTTTAAAATTAGACGTGTTTTTTTCTGAAATTACCAGGCGCTAAACCCGTAATGTGCTTTTGGTTAATTTGGGGGAAAAATTTTAAACAGATTCACTTTTTTTACATTTGGTAAACAGTGCCCTTTAAAAAATAAATAAAAAAGATAAAAAAACCATTTTGAAGGTTTAAAAAAATTCTTTTTTTAAAAAATTTTTTCTTTCAACCCTTGTCAAGAATTTTTAAAATTTTAATTTAAATAATGACAGATTTCAGTTGATGTGTTGTTGTTTTTGGGTCCCCCAGGGGGAAGCTGCATACGGGACCCACGCCAGATGTTTTGCCCATGAACAGGGCACTGCTGGACATCCTGGAATGTATTGAACAGGTAAAGCATGTTCACTTATTGTTTTCTATTCCTTCCAAGCACTTAATTTAAGAAAGTGAGGTTATCCCATACCTAGAATCAGACCTGAGTATATCCCATTCTTAAGACTGTGGATAATGCCCATGTGCTTAGCACTTCCCCATGCATATAATGCTGTAGTAAACTTTTCTATGCTGCTTCTCTAACAATATTCTTAACAGTAACTGTATCTCCCCTCATCACTAACTTTATCATTTCTGCTTTAATTTTACTTTACTCCTCACCACTTAAGCATTTACTAAAGGCACTGGATAAGTTTTTAAAATTACACAAGTCAACTCAAGTCATAAGCTAAAACTTGTTTCATTTTTCATTGGGAGACTACCAGAAATGGTGCTTTTTCTTTCTTGGCTTTGGTTTTCAGAATGTGTGCCACAAAGGATACTTGACAGTAAACTTGTTCAAACACTGCAGTAGGCCTCTTGTCCCTGCTAATCATGTGTAACACGCTCAACTACACTCATGTACCCATCCAACCTTAACAACAGGTACCAACACCTCACTGTCAATGACACAGTCTCATCTATTCAACCTGTTAACATAGGACTGCCTCAGGGCAGTGTCCATGGCCCTCTTTTTTTCTAATCTACACCACTGATCTTCCCAATGCATCTCGGGTTCTTAAACCTGTTCTGTTTACAGATGACTTTCGTCATCTTCCATTTAGATCCGGTTTCTCTTAGTAATGCTGTTAGTGACAAGCTCATGAAGATATCTACTTCAATTACTCAATTTATTTCCACATAATACATAATGTTATACATGATGTTATAAATGAAAAGAAGTTGGATGTCCTGGCCCTAAGCGAAACAAAGCTGAAGGGGGTAGGAGAGTTTCAGTGGGGGGAAATAAATGGGATTAAATCTGGAGTATCTGAGAGAGTTAGAGCAAAGGAAGGGGTAGCAGTAATGTTAAATGATCAGTTATGGAAGGAGAAAAGAGAATATGAATGTGTAAATTCAAGAAGTATGTGGATTAAAGTAAAGGTTGGATGCGAAAAGTGGGTCATAATAAGCGTGTATGCACCTGGAGAAGAGAGGAATGCAGAGGAGAGAGAGAGATTTTGGGAGATGTTAAGTGAATGTATAGGAGCCTTTGAACCAAGTGAGAGAGTAATTGTGGTAGGGGACTTGAATGCTAAAGTAGGAGAAACTTTTAGAGAGGGTGTGGTAGGTAAGTTTGGGGTGCCAGGTGTAAATGATAATGGGAGCTCTTTGATTGAACTTTGTATAGAAAGGGGTTTAGTATAGGTAATACATATTTTAAGAAAAAGAGGATAAATAAGTATACACGATATGATGTAGGGCGAAATGACAGTAGTTTGTTGGATTATGTATTGGTAGATAAAAGACTGTTGAGTAGACTTCAGGATGTACATGTTTATAGAGGGGCCACAGATATATCAGATCACTTTCTAGTTGTAGCTACACTGAGAGTAAAAGGTAGATGGGATACAAGGAGAATAGAAGCATCAGGGAAGAGAGAGGTAAAGGTTTATAAACTAAAAGAGGAGGCAGTTTAGGGTAAGATATAAACAGCTATTGGAGGATAGATGGGCAAAATGAGAGCATAGGCAATGGGGTCGAAGAGGTATGGGGTAGGTTTAAAAATGTAGTGTTAGAGTGTTCAGCAGAAGTTTGTGGTTACAGGAAAGTGGGTGCAGGAGGGAAGAGGAGCGATTGGTGGAATGATGATTAAAGAGAGTAGTAAGGGAGAAAAAGTTAGCATATGAGAAGTTTTTACAAAGTAGAAGTGATGCAAGGAGGGAAGAGTATATGGAGAAAAAGAGAGAAGTTAAGAGAGTGGTGAAGCAATGTAAAAGAGAGAGCAAATGAGAGAGTGGGTGAGATGTTATCAACAAATTTTGTTGAAAATAAGAAAAAGTTTTGGGAGTGAGATTAACAAGTTAAGAAAGCCTAGAGAACAAATGGATTTGTCAGTTAAAAATAGGAGAGGAGAGTTATTAAATGGAGAGTTAGAGGTATTGGGAAGATGGAAGGAATATTTTGAGGAATTGTTAAATGTTGATGAAGATAGGGAAGCTGTGATTTCGTGTATAGGGCAAGGAGGAATAACATCTTGTTAGGAGTGAGGAAGAGCCAGTTGTGAGTGTGGGGGAAGTTTTGTGAGGCAGTAGGTAAAATGAAAGGGGGTTAAGGCAGCCGGGATTGATGGGATAAAGATAGAAATGTTAAAAGCAGGTGGGGATTATAGTTTTGGAGTGGTTGGTGCAATTATTTAATAAATGTATGGAAGAGGGTAAGGTACCTAGGGATTGCAGAGAGCATGCATAGTTCCTTTGTATAAAGGCAAAGGGGATAAAAGAGAGTGCAAAAATTATAGGGGGATAAGTCTGTTTAGTGTACCTGGTAAAGTGTATGGTAGAGTTATAATTGAAAGAATTAAGAGTAAGACGGAGAATAGGATAGCAGATGAACAAGGAGGCTTTAGGAAAGGTAGGGGGTGTGTGGACCAGGTGTTTACAGTGAAACATTAAAGTGAACAGTATTTAGATAAGGCTAAAGAGGTCTTTGTGGCATTTATGGATTTGGAAAAGGCGTATGACAGGGTGGATGGGGGGGCAATGTGGCAGATGTTGCAAGTGTATGGTGTAGGAGGTAGGTTACTGAAAGCAGTGAAGAGTTTTTACGAGGATAGTGAGGCTCAAGTTAGAGTATGTAGGAAAGAGGGAAATTTTTTCCCAGTAAAAGTAGGCCTTAGACAAGGATGTGTGATGTCACCGTGGTTGTTTAATATATTTATAGATGGGGTTGTAAGAGAAGTAAATGCGAGGGTCTTGGCAAGAGGCGTGGAGTTAAAAGATAAAGAATCACACACAAAGTGGGAGTTGTCACAGCTGCTCTTTGCTGATGACACTGTGCTCTTGGGAGATTCTGAAGAGAAGTTGCAGAGATTGGTGGATGAATTTGGTAGGGTGTGCAAAAGAAGAAAATTAAAGGTGAATACAGGAAAGAGTAAGGTTATGAGGATAACAAAAAGATTAGGTGATGAAAGATTGAATATCAGATTGGAGGGAGAGAGTATGGAGGAGGTGAACGTATTTCAGATATTTGGGAGTGGACGTGTCAGCGGATGGGTCTATGAAAGATGAGGTGAATCATAGAATTGATGAGGGAAAAAGAGTGAGTGGTGCACTTAGGAGTCTGTGGAGACAAAGAACTTTGTCCTTGGAGGCAAAGAGGGGAATGTATGAGAGTATAGTTTTACCAACGCTCTTATATGGGTGTGAAGCGTGGGTGATGAATGTTGCAGCGAGGAGAAGGCTGGAGGCAGTGGAGATGTCATGTCTGAGGGCAATGTGTGGTGTGAATATAATGCAGAGAATTCGTAGTTTGGAAGTTAGGAGGAGGTGCGGGATTACCAAAACTGTTGTCCAGAGGGCTGAGGAAGGGTTGTTGAGGTGGTTCGGACATGTAGAGAGAATGGAGCGAAACAGAATGACTTCAAGAGTGTATCAGTCTGTAGTGGAAGGAAGGCGGGGTAGGGGTCGGCTAGGAAGGGTTGGAGGGAGGGGGTAAAGGAGGTTTTGTGTGCGAGGGGCTTGGACTTCCAGCAGGCATGCGTGAGCGTGTTTGATAGGAGTGAATGGAGACAAATGGTTTTTAATACTTGACGTGCTGTTGGAGTGTGAGCAAAGTAACATTTATGAAGGGATTCAGGGAAACCGGCAGGCCGGACTTGAGTCCTGGAGATGGGAAGTACAGTGCCTGCACTCTGAAGGATGGGTGTTAATGTTGCAGTTTAAAAACTGTAGTGTAAAGCACCCTTCTGGCAAGACAGTGATGGAGTGAATGATGGTGAAAGTTTTTCTTTTTCGGGCCACCCTGCCTTGGTGGGAATCGGCCGGTGTGATAATAAAAATAAAATAAAATAATACATAATTTGTACAAAATTGGATGACATTTACATCTCTTATGTGGAAAGCCCCCTTGGGGTTTTCCCATTTTGGGTAAGCTGAAACCTAACTTATGTCTATAAGGACTACGATATTTTACTTATATGTATATGCATAAGACAAAAATAATTTTCACAAGGGGGTTACTAATGCTAGATGAAATAATGTCGATTCATAAAATATTTCTTATTATTCCCTCCCTCCCCACAAAAATGCTGATATTAACTCATCTTTTGCTTCTGACAGAAAATTGGACAGCAGGATGCCAGAGTTAGCAGAGACAGCCAAGCAAAATCTTTCCTAGACTCTGAACCGAAAGACAACCAAGAGAAATCTTTCCCAGACTCTGAACCAAAAGATCCTCCATCAGACTTAGGAGCAAATAATATTCCATCAAGTTCTGAACCAAAAGATAATCCATCAGACATGGAAGAAAATAATTCTTCACCAGAGTCTGAATCAAGTAAAGGTAGTAAGATTTTGAAGTGCCTTGGATATGGAGCAGCTGCTACTGTTGGTGCTGCAGGAGCAGTTGCTGCTGCACCTGTTGTTTTGACAGGTATGTTAATTCCTTCACATTAGTTTTCCAGGTTTTGCAACCCCCTCCCCTATTATGCTTGTTGCAAGCTTCAGTGAGTTTCTTGTGCAATTTCTTTCTTTTGCAAGATGGATATCATAAGTATTCCTGTGTACACCTACCATCTGATTTACGACCGAGCATGGTTCCGACCAACTGGTCGTAAGTCGAAATTGATACAAGTCCAACAACACAAACATTTGTTTATTTGCATACAAAACATTTGTATGCATGAAAACATACAAAAACATTTGTATGCATGAACAGAAAAGTACAAAATAACTTAAGCTAAGCTGTAAACAGTACAGTTGTAAGTATGAGTGGTCGCATGTTGAGCAGGTCGTGAATAGGATGGTAGGTGTATTTAGTATGGATCCATTTTCCTTGTTAGCTAGCCAGAATTTATACTGCTTCTTTATTATCTGGCTGTACTTATGTTTCTGTACTCTCCAATCTGCCACATACTGTGACTGTTGGAGACTTAAAAGAAGCCACCAGCTGTAACCTATCTGTCATATCTACACAGAAGGATGGTAGAGTAGTGAACTGACATTTTCACATACCCTGTTTCAGATCTCAAAAAAACTTTTGTATTATAAGTTTTTAATGCATTTTCAGAGTTCATAGATAATGAATGGGGTTGAAAGCTTGACTTTGCCCTTGAATGAAGACCCAACAGATGTCAACAACTAAAGGCCTATACTGTATATAATTTGTCATTATTATCCAAAATCTTCAGTAACTAATTCATAATTAAGTACAGTGGACCCCTGGTTTACGATATTATTTCATTCCAGAAGTATGTTCAGGTGCCATTACTGAACGAATTTGTTCCCATAAGGAATATTGTGAATTAGATTAGTCCATTTCAGACCCCCAAACATACACGTACAAACGCACTTACATAAATACACTTACATAATTGGTCGCATTGGGAGCTGATCGTAAAGCGGGGGTCCACTGTATACTCTTTCTTAGCATTCTACAATATACGTAACCCCTACCAGTTTGGTTTCAGGCAGGAAAAAATATGAATGATGCAGTAATAAAAATGCTTGACTTAATTTATTCATCTCTTGGAAATAGTGAATACGTATCCTATGGTGTGTCTTCACTGACCTTAGGAAGGCTTTTGATACAGCAGATCATAACATCCTGCTTCTTCATCTGAAACATTATATCTATAGCTATGCCAGGAGCAAGGGGATAGTAACCCCTTCTGTATAAATTACTAAATGTAAAAAGAGAAACTTTTGTTTTTCTTTTTTGGGCCACCCTACTTCGGTGGGATACAGCCGGTGTGTTTAAAGAAGATCTATAGCTTTTCTCAAAACACAAATAATCACAGACAATATTACTGATCATTATGCCACCTTTGAAACCAACATTTGTAAATTACCTTATGATGATCTCATTCCATCTCCATGATTATGACTGGCACAGAGGGAGTTTACTCGCAACCAGGAAACTAACACATGTGTCAGTGGTTTTCCACAAAAAATGTGAAGCCTTTACAATAGGCATTGCCCTATAAAAACTGAGCAGATTACAGCAAAGAGACTAGATAGTCAATGGCTAAGGAATAGCTTACACAGGTCCGTTGATAAAAAACAGAACTGTGAAAAATAATGCAAATTGCAGTTAATTACCAAAGAACAGATTTAGAACCTTTGTTTGTAATCATTGCATTTACAACATATACAATAATTAACGAACCCATAGGTTGCACACCAGTGCGGGCAAGATGGATGGATGGATATATGTATATGTATGTATATGTATGTATATGTATGGTATGTATGTATGTATGTATGTATGTGTGTGTGTGTGTGTGTGTGTGTGTGTGTGTGTGTGTGTGTGTGTGTGTGTGTGTGTTGTGCGTGCGTGCGTGCGTGCGTGCGTGCACCTCAGCACCGTCATAGAGAGGATCTTAGAACTTCTGAGTCACGGTAGAGGAATTGCACTTAACCTTTGCGTCTGTTTTGAATTTGAAGCTAAAATCTTAGAGTCAGCAGCAGTTGTGTGAGGGAGAGAAGTGAGAGGAGACAGTGATGTATACCTCTCAGTGTATATACACCGTTAAGTGTATAATCTCTGGGTATTTATACACCATGTGATGCATGCCTCTGAATATACACACACTCTGAGAGTCTGATCCATTCTTTGGGTATTAAAGTGTTCTTGGCTGGTGGTAAACAGGTGACACGCAGCCTTGATGACCCTGCAGATTAATACTTGCCAAACAAATAAGGAAGGCTAAACAGTTATATTTTGCTAGCAAGTTTAATGAGATGAAAGGTACGTAGATAACCCGCACATAGAAGAGAGGAGCTTACGACGACGTTTTGGTCCAACTTGGACCCCGCAGTGCTTCTCTTTCTTAGTATTTGACTGGCTCCTCCTCCTCCTTACTACCTTCCCCATTTCTACCTCCACTACTACTACTACTACCACCTCCTGCCTATATATATACCCCTCCTTCTCTTCTTTTCGTTAGTTTGACTTTGTAAATGGTCCAAGTCGGACTGAAACGTCATCGTAAGCTCCTCTCTTCTATGTGCGGGTTATTTGTGTATCGTTCCAGTCATGGTATTGTGCCTTTTTTGTTAATTGTGAGATGAAAGGTGATCTGAAAAAGACCTGGAAAACACTCTCTTAAATCATGGGCTCTCAAAAATTGGCTAAAACGAGAGAAATTTTTCTAACCAAATTTTGCATTCAGCCTGCTGGAACAGCCAACATATTAAATTATTTCTATTATACTACAGGATCAAGTATATGTAGAAAAATACCAAGTTGAATTCCTAAGCAAAAGCTTTCCACACCAATGTAAACCCTTCATAGGCCAATATCTAACTTCTCACTGTTATTTAAAATCTTTTGCTAAACTAATTCATAAGTGAGTATGCTCCTTCCCTCTGTCCCACACCATACTCAAACTCTGCTAATTAGGTTTAAGGCCAGAAAAAAGTATGAATGACACAATTATAATAATGCTTGATAATTTATGCAGCTCTTGAAAATAGCGAATATCCAACAGGCCTCTTCATAGACCTTAGGAAAGCTTTTGATAAACTAGACCACAACACCCTGCATCTTAAATTAAAACATTATAGTATCAGAGGTCATACTCATGTAAGTCCTACCTTAACAGCGAAGACCAGTATGTCTCCATCAATGACATAACCTTATCAACTTTACCTGTCAACATAAGGATGCCTCACTGCAGTGTTCTCAACCCTCTGTTTTTCCTCTTACTGTAGATGTTATAAGTATAAATCTCTATAAATATGCCTTTAGCAAACTATCTGCCTGACAGCTTCAAAAAGTGTCAGGGCAACTTTTCTATGTAAGACAGTGCCTCCTGCCACACTGCCAAAGACATAAAGAACTGGCTTAATTATTGTGAATTTTCCATACGCTAATGACTGGCCTGGAAACTTACTGATAAAAAACATTTAGAAACTAATTAAGCATAAGCTTCATGGCATAGATGTGTCCTCTAACCCCAAAATCTGGAGTGTCATTCAGCAGGTGTGGGAGGGTATTGACTTTTCTATCCTCCATGTGTATATAAGGCCCTAAAATCTGAACCTCTACCTAAAGATTCCAGAGGTTCTTTATTTGTCAGATGCTTCAAAGCTACTATATATATAAAAAAAATTGTTTTCTTAATGTGATTCTTGTTAGTGATATATATATTAGTACAGTGGACCCCCGTTTAACGATATTTTTTCATTCCAGAAGTATGTTCAGGTGCCAGTACTGACCGAATTTGTTCCCATAAGGAATATTGTGAAGTAGATTAGTCCATTTCAGACCCCCAAACATACACGTACAAACGCACTTACATAAATACACTTACATAATTGGTCACATTGGGAGGTGATCGTTAAGCGGGGGTCCACTGTATAAGAAGATCAAACAAATCTTGAATCCTGCTGTTTTTTATTCAATTCCTTCCCTGTACTTCTCAGTTCAGCTTTTTTCTTTTTACTCTCATATATTGTACAACATGCTGTTGTACTGATAACCTTACATACCATTAATATTTTTTTTTTTCAATGAACAAGCCATATCCCACCGAAGTAGGGTGGCCTAAAAAAGAAAAAAGTTTCTCTTTTTAACTTAGTAATTTATACAGGAGAAGGGGTTACTAGCTCCTTGCTTCTGGCACTAGTCACCTCTTACGACACACATGGCTTACAGAAGAAGAATTTTCTTCCACTTCCCCATGGTGATAAAAGAAAATAAGAACAAGAACTAGCAAGAAAATAAAAGAAAACCCGGAGGGGTGTGTATATACATGCTTGTACATGCATATGTAGTGTGACCTAAGTGGAAGTAGAAGTAACAAGATGTACTTGAAATCTTGCATGTTTTTGAGACAAACAAGACACCAGGAATCCTATCATCATGTAAAACAATTACAAGCTTCCGTTTTACACTCACTTGGTAGGACCGTAGTACCTCCCTGGGTGGTTGCTGTCTACCAACCTACTACCTAGGACCATTAGTATTATCTGCCTTTATTTATATCCATGTCTGCAGAAATAATTCTCAGTGAACTTATATTTAATATTGTTTTGCATTGTAATTTAATTTAACTAATACCACTTACTATGCAAGGCAAACCATGGAGGGTGGAAATCTTTAACGAAAGATTTCCACCCCCATGGCTTGTCTTGCATTGTTTAGATTGCCAGTCTGCAAGTGTTTGCACCACTTACCATTTTAGAACTAGACAATCATATTTTTAATTTGTTGTTTTGCAAATTAGCATGTAACTTGTATATTTTTAGGCTGTTATTAACCCTTTCACTGTCTGTCACATAAAACTGTTATTGACACAAAGGTCCATCATGTAGATCTACATCATCAGCTCAACTCTTTTAGATAAGCTGTGAGCAGTATATGTTGGCCTAAATGAGAGAATTATTCCATGTAGTGATTGTGCACAGTATGAAAAATATCCTGCCTCACGTGGTGCATAACTGGAAAAAGAAAACTCTGACCTTGTGTTTGGTTTAAAATAGCAATTTTTGAGGTGTTTCCTGGGATAGTTTTAAGACTATTTGACTTCTATCACTTGATAAAACAGAACACACACTACTGTAATAGAGATGATTTTAGTTGGTTCCAGGACTGAAAGCAGCTTGAAACTGACCTCAGACCACTGAAAATATTTGATTTTTGCCGATATTCCTGAGGATGGGTAAGATCCCCCTACACCCCTGAGTCAGTTTTATGGATTTTTCCTAGGTTTGATTCAGCACTCACATCCAGAGTATAACTAAGAAGTCTCCAAAACAGTAGGTGTCCGTTCTAAGAAGGTTACTGTGCACCTCAAACAATATTACAGTGATACTTCTCATATCCGAACTATATGGGCCAAGACAGGAATAACAGGAAAAGTTGGTAGATGGATCTATAATTTCCTCACAAACAGACCACAAAGAGTAGTAGTCAACAGAGTAAAGTCCGAGACAGCTACGGTGAAAAGCTCTGTTCCACAAGGCACAGTACTTGCTCCCATCTTGTTTCTCATCCTCATATCTGACATAGACAAGGATGTCAGCCACAGCACCGTGTCTTCCTTTGCAGATGACACCCGAATCTGCATGACAGTGTCTACCATTGCAGACACTGCAAGGCGGACATCAACCAAATCTTTCAGTGGGCTGCAGAAAACAATATGAAGTTCAACGATGAGAAATTTCAATTACTCAGATATGGTAAACACGAGGAAATTAAATCTTTATCAGAGTACAAAACAAATTCTGGCCACAAAATAGAGCGAAATACCAACGTCAAAGACCTGGGAGTGAATGTTGGAGGATCTCACCTTCAAGGACCATAACATTGCATCAATCGCATCTGCTAGAAAAATGACAGGATGGATAATGAGAACCTTCAAAACTAGGGATGCCAAGCCCATGATGACACTCTTCAGGTCACTTGTTCTATCTAGGCTGGAATATTGCTGCACACTAACAACACCTTTCAAGGCAGGTGAAATTGCTGACCTAGAAAATGTACAGAGAACCTTCACGGCGCGCATAACGGAGATAAAACACCTCAATTACTGGGAGCGCTTGAAGTTCCTGAACCTGTATTCCCTGGAATGCAGGCGGGAGAGATACATGATTATATACACCTGGAAAATCCTAGAGGGACTAGTACCGAACTTGCACACGAAAATCACTCACAACGAAAGCAAAAGACTTGGCAGACGATGCAACATCCCCCCAATGAAAAGCAGGGGTGTCACTAGCACGTTAAGAGACCATACAACTGCCTGTTCAACTGCCTCCCAGCATACATAAGGGGGATTACCAATAGACCCCTGGCAGTCTTCAAGCTGGCACTGGACAAGCACCTAAAGTCGGTACCTGACCAGCCGGGCTGTGGCTCGTACGTTGGTTTGCGTGCAGCCAGCAGTAACAGCCTGGTTGATCAGGCTCTGATCCACCAGGAGGCCTGGTCACAGACCGGGCCGCGGGGGCGTTGACCCCCGGAACTCTCTCCAGGTAAACTCCAGACCGGTTCAGAAACATGGAGTTTCCGGATACATGAGGGGGAAAAAAATGTGCATCCATATCATCATATCGCCATCCATACCCCGTCACACTGCCATCGGTGACAGTGTTGTAGGTTTAAAAAATGAGTCCGTCATCTGGCAGTGGGACCAGACACTCTGGGCTCAAATAACAGCCTCCCAGATTTCTCGGACCACAACTTTTCAAATGGGCTGTGCACAGTGCATGCTACAAATCCTTCAAAAGTGTTTCGACACCTGCCCCTGCTGCTGGAGTTTTTGGTCTTGGAGGCATTGGGTCATTGTTGTCGTCACTTTCAGAATGTTCTGGGTGCAACATTTTAAGTTCGGCACCACGAACCATCATACCACTACCCTGTTGTTGTAGGTATCACTTCATCACACACTGATCGAGTTCCAAGCTCCGTGGCTTCGCCATCACTTTTCTTTCGGCACTTTTTCCAGTTTTTGAGGTGGCAGAAAACTCACTTGTGTAGGCCATAATCTTATCACGAGCCTTCTTGATATCACAGAGGATCAACTTTGCCAAATTATATTCAGCCATAAGTCACATGTTGGACCAACCTGTATCCACGTGTGACAATATTTCCCTCTTTTTTTTTTTTTTATCTAGAGTAAGCACATTTCTGGCCCTCTTTGGTGCCATACACAAGATAGCTAGGACAAAACACAGCAGCTCCTAGTGGCCAACCGGTATATTAAAATGCGCACCAAGTTTGATTCAGCCTTCTGCCATATCTGAGCAGCTGTTCAGATGTTTCGGTAATAATTTTAGAATTTTGCCCTTTCCCATGGCCTGTTCGGATATTGGAGAGGTTCAGATAGTGGCAGGCTGGATATGTGAGGTTATCACTGTACTTACTCTATACAACTTTCTAATCTGTCCTAACTTCACCTATGGTATTTGTGCCTGGGGATCTACTGCTGCAAATCACTTAAAGCAACTGGATGAAAAATTACTCAAGCGCTAGACAACACATGCCCCCTACTCTTCAAAAGTTTAAAATTACTCAACATACAAAACATACACTCTTACTACTGTATATATACAGGACAATCATTACAAATATAAACCCAGCTCTGGAACTCTTTCTAGAGAGCTGCAACAAAGCTCATAGGCATAATGCAAAAAACAAATAACCCTTTTGATATTCCCAGTGTTTGGCTTAACCTGAATAAAACCCTCAATGCACATAAAAGGACCTGAGATTTGGAATTCAGAAGATTCCCAGGTTCCCTATCTACCAAACACTTTAAAGCTGTTGTTAAAACAACCACCTTAATGTCAGACACATCTTCAAACCTGCTTGTTGATTCATCCTCTATTCTTGTCATGACCATTTGTCTACTCCCATATATAGTATTGTACCATTTTACAATCTATTTATCTCACAGCTGCAGGATTCACATCAGCTGGTATTGCTGCTGGATCCCTAGCTGCAAGCATGATGTCTCTTTATGGTGGAGCAGTTACTGCTGGTAGTTGGGTGAGTATCATAGGTATAAGGTGACATTTGTATTGTGATGATTTAGAAATGGTGATATCTTGCCGTTTTATAATACTGTACACTACATAATAAAAATATAAACAGTGTATGTCTGATGTTCATGTAATACTGAAACTCATTAATGTGGAGATATAAATATGTATGCTGTGAAGTGTGGTTACATGATTATAAAAGCAATGTTTAATGTTTCATTTGCTTAATTATCACAGTCTTTTTTTTTTGTTTGTTGCAGGTGGCAGTATTACAGTCAGCTGGTGCTGCAGGTGTTAGTGCAGCTACAGCAGCAGGTTTAGCTGGTGCTGGAGCTGCTGCAGGTGTTGGAACTGTCAAGGGGGTCAGAGTATTTACAAGTAAAAATGCTGAAAAGAAGGATGAAGGCAATGGTAAAAAAGAATAACATGTAAAGATGATAAAAATGAAGAATGAACAATGAAAAGAAGAATGAAGAAACTAATGGTAAAAAACTTTAGCCAATGGAGGTGATAAAATGAAAATGATGAAGAAACTGAAGCTTGTAAAAATGACAAAAAAATGAACTTAGAGAAATTGGTATGTTGGATGGTGAAAATGATAACAAAGTCAACTGTAATTCAGATTGAAGAGTGGGGAGACAATAAGTGCAGACCTGTACAGTACTGCTATATATATTTTATTGTACTGTACAAATTATAATAAACGCTGAAGGAGATGGACGACAATGACAGCAGAGTCGATTATAAACGAGAAAACGAAAGCATATTCTAAGTTTCATATTTAGGATGTCGTACATAAACACAAGCTGAACAATATGGGAAGCATCTACGAAACCAGAATAGTGAGTTTTTTGAATAGTTTTGTGTGTAATGAATGATTCAGCAAGCCTATTATTGTATGAATCTTTCAAACGAAAATATCAAAATGAATAACTTCATTTTCAGGATGTACATAATACAGTGGAACCTCAAATATCGAACTTTCTTAGTTCCAGACGGCTGTTCGAGTGCCGTTACCGAATGAATTTATTCCCATCAAGAATAATGTAAATTAGATTAGTTCATTTCAGACCCTCAAAAATACACTTAGAAAAGCGCTTACAAAAATATATTTTACATAATTGGTTAAGCTGGGAGCAGTTTGATATTTGAGGTTCCACTGTACTTATAATATTGGGTGGACAGTATTTTGTGCATTCTTCAAAAAGTCTCTAGCTATGCAAGGCATCTCAGGTGCAGCCAAATTTGAATGTGATATTGTTGTACTTAATACTACCACAATGCTGGGAACAAGGGGCTAGTAACCCCTTCTCCTGTATAAATTACTGAACTTAAAAAAAAACTTTCTTTCTTTTTAGGACACCCTGCCTTGGTGGGATACGGCGGGTTTGTCAAAAAAAAAAAAAAAGTTATACAGCCGAGAAGGAATTTAGATTTTATTAGGGGTTTGCTAAAGTGTTGGTATTGGTAGATATTGGCTAATATTAATGGTAACAATCTAAAATTGAGTATCAGTATCAGCAAAAATTTTGGTACTGTCCCATCCCTAATTATAACATCCCTATAAATGCTTTAAAGCTTCATGAAATAGTGAACTAGCTGTGTGAAAGGCATACTTGACTGTCGTGCAATTTTCTTCTGTATTCAAAACAAGCCAGATCATCCACTAACATTATCAGTAAGCATAAAATTCATGTACTCACCATTATCTGCAGCATCCGTCACACTTAACTTAATTGGGTTTAACATATATCCAATACACAAGGGCCATTAAGGATGCATGTCACCACTAGTCAAGAACACTTTATTACCTGAAAGAGGTATTAAATATAAACACTATATAATATGCAACAACTACAGTATCAGTTTGATAGGCACATCAACTCAAATTTTACAAAAAATATGGTTTCTCATACCAGACTTCATCCTTATTATACATACTGTCTACCTGGAGGGTGTTCTGGGGGATCATGCCCCCACGGCCCAGTCCTTGGCCAGGTCTCCCGGTGACAAACTTGCATTATACTAATAAGAATACCTTCAGGACTGCTTGCACAGATATAGTATCTGAAATACTACAAGGTTAAGGAAGAAAAACAAAAAATTTCTAGTTTATTATATACGTACTTATATACGTCCTGCCAAGTGAGTGTAAAACGAAGCCTGTGATTGTTTTACATGATGGTAGGATTGCTGATGTCTTTTGTCTGTCTCATAAATATGCAAGATTACAGGCATGTCTTGCTACTTCTACTTACACTTAGGTCACACTACACATACATGTACACATTTATTTATACACACTCATCTGAGTTTTCTTGGATTTTATCTTAATAGTTCTTGGTCTTATTAATTTTCCTTTTATATCCATGGGGAAGTGGAATAAGAATCTTTCCTCCGTAAGCCATGCGTGTTGTAAAAGTCAACTAAAATGCCGGGAACAATGGGCTAGTAACCCCTTTTCCTGTAAAGATTACTAAAAAGAATAAGAAGAAGAAAATTGTCAAAGTGGGAAGTCTGAATGTGCGTGGATGTTGTGCAGATGATAAGAAAGAGATGATTGTGGATGTTATGAATGAGAAGAAGCTGGATGTCCTGGCTTTAAGTGAAACAAAGCTGAAGGGGGTGGGAGAGTTTCAGTGGAGAGGAATAAATGGGATTAGGTCAGGGGTTTCAAATAGAGTTAGAGCTAAAGAAGGAGTAGCAATAATGTTGAAGGATAAGCTATGGCAGGAAAAGAGGGACTATAAATGTATTAATTCAAGGATTATGTGGAGTAAAATAAAGATTGGATGTGAAAAGTGGGTTATAATAAGCGTGTATGCACCTGGAGAAGAGAGAAGTGTAGAGGAGAGAGAGAGATTTTGGGAAATGTTGAGTGAATGCGTGGGGAGTTTTGAATCAAGTGTGAGAGTAATGGTGGTTGGGGATTTTAATGCTAAAGTGGGTAAAAATGTTATGGAGGGAGTAGTAGGTAAATTTGGGGTGCCAGGGGTAAATGTAAATGGGGAGCCTTTAATTGAGCTATGTGTAGAAAGAAATTTGGTAATAAGTAATACATATTTTATGAAAAAGAGGATAAATAAATATACAAGGTATGATGTAGCACGTAATGAAAGTACAGTGGACCCCCGCATAACGATGGCATCGCATAGCGATTTTTCCGCATAACGATTACTTTTATCGCAAAATTTTTGCCGCGCATACCGATTAAAAACCCGCATACCGATTTTCGTCCGAGACGCGTCCAATGTGCCCTCAGCCAGCCTCACATGTGCCGCTCCGTCCCATTGTTTACCAGCCAGCCTCCGCGGTAACATCCAAGCATACACTCGGAATATTTCGTATTATTACAGTATTTTCGGTGCTGTTTCTGGAAAATAAGTGACCATGGGCCCCAAGAAAGCTTCTAGTGCCAACCCTGTGGTAAAAAGGGTGAGAATTAGTATGGAAATTAAGAAAGATTTTGAAGGGTTTGGGGCTAACCCTGAGAAGCCTATGCCAGTTGTGGAATCCATTGTGCCTACTTCAAAGATTAAGGAAATGTGTGCAGAGTGGGTTGAACTGCAAACCTTTATAGATGAAAATCACCCTGACACAGCTGTTGCAAGCCGTGCTTGTGACTATTTCAATGACAATGTTATGGCCCATTTTAGGAAAGTCTTGAAGGAACGGGAGGTACAGAGCTCTATGGACAGATTTGTTGTGCGACAGAGGTCCAGTGACTCTCAAGCTGGTCCTAGTGGCATTAAAAGAAGAAGGGAAGTAACCCCAGAAAAGGACTTGCTACCTCAAGTCCTAATGGAAGGGGATTCCCCTTCTAAACAGTAAGAAGATAATGCTCTCCCCTCCTCCCATCCCATCAATCATCACCAGATCTTCAATAAAAGTAAGTGTCATGTAATTGTGCATGCCTTTTTCAGTTTGTGTGTATTAAAATTAACATTTCATGTGGTAAAAAAAAATTTTTTTCATACTTTTGGGCGTCTTGCACGGATTAATTTTATTTCCATTATTTCTTATGGGGAAAATTCATTCGCATAACGATTATTTCGCATAACGATGAGCCCTCTTGCACGGATTAAAATCGTTAACCGGGGGTCCACTGTAGTTTATTAGATTATGTATTGGTGGATAAAAGGTTGATGGGTAGGCTCCAGGATGTACATGTTTATAGAGGGGCAACTGATATATCGGATCATTATTTAGTTGTAGCTACAGTTAGAGTAAGAGGTAGATGGGAAAAGAGGAAGGTGGCAACAACAAGTAAGAGGGAGGTGAAAGTGTATAAACTAAGGGAGGAGGAAGTTCGGGTGAGATATAAGCGACTATTGGCAGAAAGGTGGGCTAGTGCAAAGATGAGTAGTGGGGGGGTTGAAGAGGGTTGGAATAGTTTTAAAAATGCAGTATTAGAATGTGGGGCAGAAGTTTGTGGTTATAGGAGGGTGGGGGCAGGAGGAAAGAGGAGTGATTGGTGGAATGATGAAGTAAAGGGTGTGATAAAAGAGAAAAAGGTAGCTTATGAGAGGTTTTTACAAAGCAGAAGTGTTATAAGAAGAGCAGAGTATATGGAGAGTAAAAGAAAGGTAAAGAGAGTGGTGAGAGAGTGCAAAAGGAGAGCAGATGATAGAGTGGGAGAGGCACTGTCAAGAAATTTTAATGAAAATAAGAAAAAATTTTGGAGTGAGTTAAACAAGTTAAGAAAGCCTAGGGAAAATATGGATTTGTCAGTTAAAAACAGAGTAGGGGAGTTAGTAGATGGGGAGATGGAGGTATTGGGTAGATGGCGAGAATATTTTGAGGAACTTTTAAATGTTAAGGAAGAAACAGAGGCAGTAATTTCATGCACTGGTCAGGGAGGTATACCATCTTTTAGGAGTGAAGAAGAGCAGAATGTAAGTGTGGGGGAGGTACGTGAGGCATTACGTAAAATGAAAGGGGGTAAAGCAGCTGGAACTGATGGGATCATGACAGAAATGTTAAAAGCAGGGGGGGATATAGTGTTGGAGTGGTTGGTACTTTTGTTTAATAAATGTATGAAAGAGGGGAAGGTACCTAGGGATTGGCAGAGAGCATGTATAGTCCCTTTATATAAAGGGAAAGGGGACAAAAGAGACTGTAAAAATTATAGAGGAATAAGCTTACTGAGTATACCAGGAAAAGTGTACGGTAGGGTTATAATTGAAAGAATTAGAGGTAAGACAGAATGTAGAATTGCGGATGAGCAAGGAGGTTTTAGAGTGGGTAGGGGATGTGTAGATCAGGTGTTTACATTGAAGCATATATGTGAACAGTATTTAGATAAAGATAGGGAAGTTTTTATTGCATTTATGGATTTAGAAAAGGCATATGATAGAGTGGATAGAGGAGCAATGTGGCAGATGTTGCAAGTATATGGAATAGGTGGTAAGTTATTAAATGCTGTAAAGAGTTTTTATGAGGATAGTGAGGCTCAGGTTAGGGTGTGTAGAAGAGAGGGAGACTACTTCCCGGTAAAAGTAGGTCTTAGACAGGGATGTGTAATGTCACCATGGTTGTTTAATATATTTATAGATGGGGTTGTAAAGGAAGTAAATGCTAGGGTGTTTGGGAGAGGGGTGGGATTAAATTATGGGGAATCAAATTCAAAATGGGAATTGACACAGTTACTTTTTGCTGATGATACTGTGCTTATGGGAGATTCTAAAGAAAAATTGCAAAGGTTAGTGGATGAGTTTGGGAATGTGTGTAAAGG